AGGACCGCTGGATGGTTAAGTCCAGTCGAAGGCGACTATGGGGTTGCGGCGCTCATCTCGTTTTCAAGCCAAGGGAGCTGGCGTTTGTCCACAGACAGCTTTCCGGGTCATGTGGCCAGCTTCTGGCACAATGGGACACCGTGACGGAAACCAGAGTGCACGGAAACACTGTTTACCTTCTCGCCGCAGTGGTGCCTGTTTATCTACTCGCACTGGTGTGCTTTCGAATTGCTAGGTTGGCAGGAGCTGGGACACAGTAATAGGCGCTCACCCCGTTGCGCGGATTCGAACCACCAACCTTCTGATCGGCAAGCCCAAGAGACTCATGAAGCACAGCGATAAATTAATAACGCAGAGTCTTCTTCAGTAAAAGAATAAAAGCTTTCCTGACTTAAAACTTGTTTGCAAATAAACAGCATAGTGAACAGAAGATTAAACTAGCTTCAGAGTATACACAGAGTTACAGGCTTCACTTTTAAGTCAGGCTCCAAACACATACTAACTCCACCCTAACTCATGGCTCCACAGCTCACAGGCTCCAAACTGTCTGTGTTAAGTTGTGGGTGAACATATCAGACGACACAGCGATTCTTCAAACAGCTCTTGTTTATTCACAGGCCAGAACAGAACTGAACTGAAGGGTTCAGCCAGCCTGCTTATATAGAGCTCCACTAGAACGCAACAGTAACCATTTTCTGTAACTATCCAATCACTGAACGTCACTTTCAATCCCTTATTTGCATATGTGGACCTGAACTATCTACAGTATCCCCCTGCTGGCCCAGGGTGAGAACTTCAGTACATAAGAGTCTGCCTGCAAGCAGATACAATACATTTATACAGAGAATGAGTCATCCTCCAGATGCCTCACAGTGAATCAGCATGCTGAGTGATTGTGCAGCTTTCCAGCATTTCACAGCATTTCTAGACTCCTTTCCTGCTTTGCTTTACTGCTTCTGCTCTCAAATACCTTTGTCACATGACAGCTCAGTGGTTTAGAGTAGACCACAGAGCCACCTGCATCCCAATTGTAGCATATATTTAAATAAGGACATGACTAAAATTTGATCTGGGCCACCATTTGTGTGCCTTGATCCTGGCTACAAATAATGCTTGATACAGCGACCTCTTGGACATTTAGGCAGCAAACGAATATTGAATACAATTGTGCCATGCCACAAATTAAGAGATACCGGTAATTAATTAGATGCACTTTGATGCCAAAATAGGCATTAGAACCCCAAACCTGAGAAGAAATTTAGATGTGGAGACTTTTGTAAGCATCCTTTCTTTTGATTTTTGATTTTTTTAACATCTTTTTATTTGTATAAGCAAGCACATGCCCTTCAATAGCACACAGGAAGAAAAGAAAAAGAAATCTACTTACGAAGAACCTTTACTCCTCTTAAATAATGAAAAAAACCTCAGATGTCAGTGTAATAGCTTGCCATTTATCACTTAGTGTTATAGAAAATAGCAATAAAAAACTGGCTTGGAAACAGTAAACATAATAAAATTATCAATATATAGGTAAAATCAACAGATTTTGAAAACAAATGTCCATAATAAAATAACACGCCTTGGTAGGCTGATCTCAACATTTGTTTATTCAATTATTCATTCATTCATTCAGACATCAATATCAGTACAATGAAGGTAGGGTTGCCATATGTCCGGATTTTTCTAGACATGTCCTCTTTTTCAAAGGTAAAATCACCATCTGGGCAAATTTTCAATATTTTGCAAAATGTCCAGGTTTTAATTTTAATCTTTGGTATCATTTTTACCAGGGCCGCTCTAGGACTTAAGACAGTGAGTTGCCATTATTAAATATTTCAATACACCTTTGCTCTTTTACTGTACACACTGCTACTTTTCCCCCTCCCGTCACACACACACACACCTGCCCTCTTTTTTGCTCTTTGGAACATGGCAACCCTCCCTAATATCAACAGACAGGGAGTCCCAGAGAATTGAGAAACTTAAAACATTTTAGGATATACTTTGAAGGGGAGGTGTGAAAATATTTTATTTCCCCTCCTGATTTTTCTAATAATTATCATGCCTTGTGGGGGGACGTGGGTGGGGCTGTGGGTAAAACCACAGAGCCTAGGACTTGCCAATCAGAAGGTCGGCGGTTCGAATCCCCGCAACGGGTGAGCTCCCATTGTTCGTTCCCTGCTCCTGCCAACCTAGCAGTTCGAAAGCACGTCAAAGTGCAAGTAGATAAATAGGTACCACTCCGGTGGGAAGGTAAACGGCATTTCAATGTGCTGCTCTGGTTCGCCAGAAGCGGCTTAGTCATGCTGGCCACATGACCTGGAAGCTGTACGCCGGCTTCCTCGGCCAGTAAAGCAAGATGAGCGCCGCAACCCCAGAGTCAGCCACGACTGGACCTAATGGTCAGGGGTCCCTTTACCTTTACGTTTTTATGATGCCTTGTACTACGCATGGACCAAATGTCATATGTAAGTACCCTAAAATGCCAAAAAACCCCAGGAATGAAAGAGAGCTTAACCAAGGTGGTGTGTAACTATGTATCCCAACCCAGTGCCCTCCAGATGTTTAGGGTGGCAATTGTGAATTGCAAAACAGATCACCTAGAAGGCACACAGATGTGGAAGGCAGACAAATACACAGTGGTGTTGTGGCATGGGGGTAGTGTGCCCCGGGTTCCATGTCTGTGGAGGTGACAAGAAGTCACCCAGCGGGGGCTCACGGCAGTGCGAGCAGCGATCGCACCGCCACAGCCACATGTGGAGGATCCTCCGTTCGCAGCGCAGCTGCAAGCAGAGGATCCCGGCACCAGCCGCAAACCGCTAAGTACAGCGCATGTGCGGCGTCGCACGCATGCACTGTACGTAGTGACGCCACACATACACTGTATAACGGTTTGCCGCCAGTGCTGCTCCAGCACCATACGGACAGTGTTGGGATCCCTCTGTCGCCGCTACAGCAGCAGAGGATCCTCCGTTCACAGCTGCAGCCACGAGCAGAGGATCCCAGCACCATCTGTACAGTGCTGGAGTGGCGCTGGAGGCAAACCGCTATACAGCGCATGTGCGGCGGCGCTACGTATGGCGCATGCATCATACGCAGTAACGCCGCACATGCACCCTACATAGCGACACCCGCTCTGGGTGTCACAACGCCTTCCTTCACCCCTGCAAACACACACACACCAACTAATATGAAATCTTAAACATAGTGCAGTACTATTCCTTGTGAGAATGAACATTTTCTTCGCAGCAAAATGAAATCGTGGTGGGCTTAAGAAAGCCATTTTCTCGCTTGATTCCAAGTGATTTTCTTTAACTACACAATGGTGGAGGAAGCAGACCTCTACCATGCAGTGATTTTAGGCTACAGATCTGTTCTGTACCAGATGCAGCATGTAGCCTGAGTAAACCATTATCACTTTTTCTTACAATGAGACACACTTCCCCTCCCTGCTGTCCCAAAAGTCTGAGCTAAAAAGTTCTGATGAATTGGGACTATTACAATAGTAATCATAAGCCATTGAAAAAGTGAGATTAAATGTAGCAATTCTCTTTTCAACACGGAATGTGGTGAATGGCTTTTAAGTTAGCAAATGCAATGCAATCTAGCCCTGGTTTAAGAGTCTAACATCTGGAGAACATTATTGCACAATCGCCATTGTTTGTCCCATGTCCCATGTGTGGTGTTGTTATGTTCTTTCTTGACGTCCTGACAATCACTGTGGTCTTGATTAAGGCTTATATTTACGTTTTTACTCATTTCGTCTCTTATTCTTAAGCCATTTCAGTGTTACAGAATTTAGATGGAGCAAAACCCCTTGTTTCCATTTACAGACGAAACAAGACTGGATCTAAACAGAAGGCCCTCTATTAAAATATTTAATTTTAGCAAAGGAAACACGGCTCACATAACTCCCCAGAAATGACAGCTGCTCCATCAATTGAAATTATGCAATTTGCACATTTCAAAGTCAGAATATGAGGGGGAGAGTAAGCTTGCAAGGAAATCAAATCGCATACCTCTACCTATTCCTATATAATAATAATAAAATGTGTACTGATAACCTACCAGTGGTTATACTGGCAATTATATATGCACTATAATTTGGTCTTTATTGTATCTGCTGTGCTTGAAAATAACACTTGACTTACGAAGAACCTTTTTCTCCTCTTAAATAATGAAAAAAACACAGTTGTCAGCATAATATCTTGACATTTAGGATGCCAGCCTGTCTCTACTGGAGTCAGATGTGAAAATAAATAGATATTAAACTGTCAGTCAATGAAATTACAAAGTCAAGGAGAGCTCTTGCAGAGATCCTGTGTGTTCTCTTTGATGGACACAGGTGTTTGTTACAAAACCCAACAGGGCCTCCAAGTGAATCACACACCTTCTCCAGCAGTCTCGGATTAGCGACAACAGCTGGGATGAACTTGCCTGCGTCGTCCTGGGGCTTTGCAATAATCCTCACGACCAAAAGAAAAGTAACCAAAAACACGGAGGGTTGGGGTGGGAGGAAGCCATTCAAAGTTTTTTGGCGTGTTCTGAATCGGAAAGCTTAAATCAAGCCCTGCACACCTCCGGGCCGGTTGCAGTGCCCCTCTTAAAGAATAAAGGGTATATTCCCGCCGGCCTTCCATATTAATGCCATTCAGACGCCAGCAATCTACATCATTTATTTATTATTCATCAGGCACTTAAAGTCAATCATCTTTCACTAATAAACATTAACACTATTAAAAATTAATGATCATTTCCCAGCCTGCTGAGACAGATCCCTCTTGGCTTGTTTGATGTGTATTGGACCAAAGTATATCACATTCTTTTACAATGTTACCGTTGTCCCTGTCATCGTCGGACTGCGGCACTCCACTGCTGATGACAGCTTCCCGCTCCCGCAAGATGTATTCCTATAACTTTCCTCCTTTTTTCTTGAGTTTGCTATAATATTGGCACCATGTTATTTATTCTCCCCCACCTCTCTCTCTCATATCTACAGAGCTCTACACCAAGTGGGGAAACTGTTCCAACCCGAGGGCCATATACTTTTCTGGGCAACTTTCCAGAGGCTGCTTGCCAGTGCTCATTGGAGCCTGAGGCCCAAAGTAAGTGGAGTAATGCATGCAACTCTTGCCTTTACACAGTAGGCTACTATTATGTATTCAGTGGTCTGAGCTTGAGTCTGGACTAAGGATTCCGAGCCCTTGTGCTCTGATTCGATACATGATATCCAATCACGTAGCATTATAAGTGTTTGGGCAATTGGCATTGGCTCTTAAGCTCTGAGTTATGATTCGCAGCTTGGGGGTTTAAACAGCCAATCATGTTGGGAGCGGTAGTGGCCCAGGCTTTCAGAAATACATATACAGTGGTACCTCAGGTTACATATGCTTCAGGTTACATACACTTCAGCTTACAGACTCCGCTAACCCAGAAATAGTGCTTCAGGTTAAGAACTTTGCTTCAGGATAAGAACAGAAATCGGGCTCTGGTGGTGCAGTGGTAGCAGGAGGCCCCATTAGCTAAAGTGGTGCTTCAGGTAAAGATCAGTTTCAGGTTAAGAATGGACCTCCGGAACGAATTAAGTACTTAACCTGATGTACCACTGTAAGCAGTTGGTTTGCTCCTGTTGTTCTGTTCTGTTTGTTCAATAAAGGATGGATCTACACACAGGGAGGAAAAACACTATAAATAAGTCAGAAATTAAATCGTCATTACAAAAGAAAAAAAAGCTATAGAAAATCGCTTATATATTTTTTGCTCTCTGGCACCATCTGGTGTTGCATGTTTATAACGCATTCAAAACACTGTTTCTTGACTAATGTAGCTGAGTCCAAAGTCTTGTGCTATTATCACTGTGTCTCACCTCGTAGAAAACCACGTACACATCAGTGACATTATAGGCATGTTTAAATCAAAGGTTCCTACACAGAGAGACATACATACAGGTGCACATACAGGTGAATCATGGTTCAGGAACACATTCCAAACAGGCAAAGCACAGGCCAAACCTTTCAAACACTCCAATTTCTTTTATAAGAACTATCCACTTTGTATCACATTTTCTTCATGTTATGGACATATCAAGCATTAACCCCAAAAAAGCCTGACTGGTTTCAGAATTTGCGTCACCACAGCCAAAGGAGATTCTGTGTAAAAGGTGTGAAATTGACCTTTAGAATTTGGTTTAGAGTCCAATGGTATTGTTCTTCAGTTATTGGAATTGTATGTCTTTCTAGTGCCTTACTCTGCTAATGAACAAATAAAGCAGTTTCTTAGAAGTCAGTTCTTAAATGTATCATCCCATACAATACAGTAAACCACCAACAGGCACAGCCCATTGCTTCTCATGGTATGTGGGGTTCAGTCATATAAAGACTGAAAATAAGCCAACAGCCTGTAGCTACAAACCCCTCACCACAGCAGCAGCAACAACAACAAAAAATCAGACACCCATGTCTGAATCCTATTTACATCTCCCCCAATATGACCTGGACCTAGTTTTCTGAAATTTGGCAGGCTTAATCCATCCTGGGAAGATGCCTATGCTTGTAAATTTCACCCACTTTGTCCAAAAGGGGGAAAGTTATAGGCATTTTTAAATTCCAACAATTGTATATAATATATGCATATGTATGCACTGATTCCCCTGCTCGCCTGCCTCACACTAATCTGTACAGTAAGGCCACCATTTTCATATATATCACATGCCGCTTTTTATATTCTTCCCAAATAAATGGTCTCAGTGGAATGTGTAATAGCACCATAAATATGTTCTAAATAATTGACCAATGATCATTTCATTGTAGTAACATAATAAACCTTATTTGTAATGTCTTGCTCAAAAGTTAGCTGAACACGTTTTTTTTAAAGCCAAACATAAGGGAGGATTCTAGCCAGAGGAAAGAAGAACTATCAGGATTTTTTATCCCAAATTACCTTAGCTTTCCATAAGATTAATTTGAATCCAATATGTAAAACCCAAGTAAGATTTAAGGTTTGGTTATTGACTATGTAACAGGAACACTTGGCAGGCAATGAGATGAATAAATCATCTTGCAGCTTACAATAATATTTCTGTGCCAAATCACTTCCCATAGAAATGCAATGACTGCTAGAACTAGGAAAAATGTGGGAAATTAATTAAAGCACCGCAGTTGTCTTCCCCTCTGCTCACTCTTTACTGCTGTATCTCTCATTAAGTTGCTAGCTAGTATTTTGAGAGCACAATGATGTGATCTAAAAATATGTAGGTGCAGTGCTGGAAATATGTTATTCATTTTGCAGCCTAAATACCATAAATTTCAAAACAATGATTAGGGGGTTAGGACTTCAGAGTTGCCGGGATAATCTGGGGACTGCATCCAAAGCTCATTTCAGATCACCACTGATTACTCTCCAGGAACAACTCTGCCTATGGTTTTATTCAGCGATTTGTATTCTGAACAATTAAATAGGCCTATTTACTCGATATGCATGCTGAAGATGCAATTCCTCTCATTTTAAAACAGGGGTGGGTACATAGGTGCCAACTCCCTGGGACCCTGGGTGCCCTAGCACCCACAAAAGTCCCCATGAAGGGGATGGGCACCCACAAATTTGCTGCATGGCCCTGAGCTGTGACTCCTGGGTGGGTATCCTGTTGCCCTCCTTAGCCTACTACTCCCATTATTCCTGAATTTTCAACATGCTGGCTAGGGATGATGGGAGCTGGAGAACAACATCATTCAGAAGAGCAGTTTCCCTATTCCTGCCAGATGGGTGATTGTTTCTGACCTGTGTTGATAACATTGCTAGGATTGCGACGGGGTACAAAATAGTGGGACCACAGCAAATGATTTAGAACACACAAAAGCAAATTCTTTCTGACACTGTAAACATATTTAGGACCTTCTTAGCAGCTAAAAAGTAACTACAGTGGTACCTCGGGTTAAGAACTTAATTCGTTCCTGAGGTCCGTTCTTAACCTGAAACTGTTCTTAACCTGAAGCACCACTTTAGCTAATGGGGCCTCCCGCTGCCGCTGCGCAATTTCTGTTCTCATCCTGAAGCAAAGTTCTTAACCTGAGGTACTATTTCTGGGTTAGTGGAGTCTGTAACCTCAAATATCTGTAACCTGAAGCGTCTGTAACCCGAGATACCACTGTATGTACTTCCTGAAAGCCACTGTGGCATAATGAATAGCGGATCAGGCTCAGACAGGGGAGATCTGGTTTCAAACCCAGACAGACAGACATGCATCCTGGATTTTAGTCTTGTGATATTTCTTCCTCTCTGACTTGTAGCACATTGTACTACTGATGTGAACTACTTGATTAGGGTAATTCTCCCTCAGGGGGGGCGTCTTATACATGGAAAAATATGATAAATGCCTTAAATAATAATAAATTAATAAATACAAACACAACCCCCAAAGCGAGTGAAAATCAATCAGAAACCAACCAAAGCAGGTGTAAAATTAAATTCAAACAAACAAACAAATCCACAATCCATCGAAACTCCATCAAAGAGGGAGTCTGACAAGTTCCAGAATCTGAGTGCTGCCATGCAGAACATTCCCTACATCCCAGCGAACACACCTTAGTAGGCAATGGGACATGGAACGTGCTTATCTGAGAAAAGACGGTCCTTCAGTTATCCTGCTCTCGAAGTTTAGGGTAGCCTTTCCCAATCTGGTAGCCTAAAGATGTTTCACAGTATTTCCCCTGACTGGCTAGGGCCCATAAGAATCGTAGTGCAAATTTAAGATTTACACGTAGCCACTGAGAAATACTAGAAAAGTTTCCAGATAACACCAATGTTTCCTGGAAAACAATCTGAAGGAAAAACATGTATTGAACTATGCCAAGTAGAGTCTCTTCAGGCATTCAGGGAATTGTGCAAACCAACACGTGATTGATATTGTGTGTGTGTGTGTGTGTGCGCGCGCATGCGCGCGCATGCTGACTTTGCTCTGTTTACCTTCCCCAGATGGAAGGAGAATAGTCTGAATGGGCAGCCTGATCCACAAGTGCGTAAGACTCAAACAAACACCATGAAAAAATCTCATATTCATTTTGAAAAGGTTAGGGGCAGCTTCTTCATGCCTACTTCCCATCTCCACCTGTACTTTCAAGACCTGTTAACTAACTTGCTTTTCCTTTCATGCATTTGTCTTTTGCATGAAAGACACTCAGGTTATTTTTATAAGGACTCAGGGATTTTTGCCATGCTATATAATGATATATAAGAGCATCATTATTCATGCCTTAAAAGAGAACAGCTAATAAAAATGTTAACAAGGTTTCCCTGATGTGGGGTTGGTTGTGTGTGTGTTTTTGGTGTTTTTTGTTTTGTTTTGTTTTTTTGTACTACAGTTCCATCTGCTCAAACAAATGTTCCTTTTTAAAATATGGCGTTCGTTTCCTGGATTTACCTTTGAGAAGCTTGAACATGTTGACATCATGGAAATAAGCTTTGATTTTAAAAATGGAAGAGTATGGAGAGAGAGAAAATGAGAATTTGGCATCTCTAGGCAATAAGTATCTTCCTGCAATGAAATATATCAATAATATGGCTAATGCAGAAAGATTAATAGGGTTTTTAATTTTATTCCCACGTCTGGGTGCACAACGCCATACTTATTTTATATTCATTGTATTACCCTAGGCAATTGTCCATTCCCCTCATTCTGACAGGCGATACATCCATCATTATGTCTCAAAGTGTACATGCGAAGTCAAATCTATGCCTGCACAATGTGCCACAGAAAATCAGGCCTGGAGCCACACCCATTCCCCAGTCACACCTTCTCTCCCCAGGTAACACATCCAACCAGCCTTCCTTCACACCCGCCTTGAGTGTTTTGGTGTCAGGGATAGGCTGGATGAAAAAGACTGATGGGAGCCTTCCTCTCAAGACCTTCCCAGAGAGGTCTCTGAAGAGGACACAGAAGCGTAGGAAGGTCAGGTGGTACCCGGTGCAGAAAATTTCTTGTCACCCCCCTCAATTGATTTTTATTTTATTTTATTTTATTTTTTGCCTGCAAAAATGGTTTTACGTTATTTCATATTTTCTTACAAAGGACTGCGGATTCTGGGCCTCTGATAACAAGTAGATAACTATGGACAGATACTTAAATCTACAGGATGGATTGTGTTTTGGCTTGTGTTATTTTATTTATATTTATCGTTTGTTTATTTCATAAAATTTATTTTAAAAAACCTGCAAAATGGTTTACCAAAACAAAAAACACCACTATGCCCCTGAGAGGACACCTGGAGCCTGGTGGTGGGACACTGAGGAGCAGTCATCAGAAGGAACAACTTGGGAGCTGATAGAAGCAGGAGGCTTGAGCGATCAAGAGGGCTTGGGAGACAGGCCCTTCCAGGATAGGATTAGAAGCTGAGAGTCACAGTGTGCACACAGACAGTCCCAATTCTGCTGACTCTCCTCCTGCTCTGACTTCCTGCTTGAGGAAGGTCCTGTACATTGCTGAGCAAGGTGCCAGATGGGCTCAGAGGAGGCGCTCTCCCCCCTCAATGCAGCCTTCATTTGCTTGGGAGGGATCCAGAGTGAGAGGCTAGAGGGCAAGGGCATGCCTAGAGATTAGTTGCAGCAACAGCTTTGTTGAGTTAAAACGAACCAGGGACATTGCTTTATTGTTGGTTTTTTCTGCTAATAAAAAGCTAATTGCATTCCATGTCTCCCATGTGTGTGCTGACCCTGTGGCTGACCTGCCTTATTGGCAGCTCCTTGACATTTGGCCTGGCTGGAATGTGCCCAAGAACTCCAACATACCCACCAACGTTTCTCCGATTTAAACAGGGATGTCCCATTCCATAATGATAATTTTACTATTTATAAAAAGGTAAAGGGACCCCTGACCAGTAGGTCCAGTCGTGGCCGACTCCGGGGTTGCGGTGCTCATTTCGCTTTATTGGCCGAGGGAGCCGGCGTACGTCTTCCGGGTCATGTGGCCAGCATGACTAAGCCGCTTCTGGCGAACCAGAGCAGCGCACGGAAAGGCCATTTACCTTCCCACCGGAGCGGTACCTCTTTATCTACTTGCACTTTGATGTGCTTTCGAACTGCTAGGTTGGCAGGAGCAGGGACTGAGCAACGGGAGCTCATCCTGTCGTGGGGATTCGAACCGCCGACCTTCTGATCAGCAAGTCCTAGGCTCTGTGGTTTAACTCACAGCGCCACCCACTTCCTATTTACTATTTATACCCCACACTTATTGGGTTGCCCCAGCACTCTGGGCAGCTTCCTCGCCCCTGCAGTACGCGCTCTCTCTCTCTCTCTCTCTCTGCTTTGTAAGGTGCTGCAGATGGGCGTTTATTGTGGGACTGATCCTGCTCATGCATGCAAGTTTTTCCAGGGCCGGCATGACACTGTGGGCCTGAAAATGCCACTGCATATCCTCCCTTTCCCCTTTAATATGGATTTAACCTTTCTTGAAAATCCAAGGAGTTTCTTTTTTAAAAAAAGAACCTGTTGCCAGTTACATTTGCAATATCTAAATGACTCATTTGCAATATTCAGCCTGCATCCCAAAGCACCTTGAGACATGGATGCTGCAATCCTATGTACACCCTTACCTGGGAGCATTGAACTCAGTGGGGCTTACAGGCATGCATAGGATTGCATTGTAAGTGTACTTAACAGCTTTAGTATTGCTGCAGTAATCGTCATGCCCACCCAGGCCAAGAGTCCTTGGTTATTTTCAGTCGTGGCTGTACCTAAATGGACTCATTTCAAATTTTCGCGATCTTGTCATGTGAAAGCGACTTGCTTAAGTGGGTTTTTCCCTCGCTCCCTCCCTCTCTGTGCAGTTACAGGCTGCTCAGACATACACCACTCAGTAGGGGTCTGTCTCTATGATTCATTGGCTCTGATTTCCTATGGTGTTTATATGATGTCTACTAACCCCATACAGTTTTGTATCCATTATGAGCAGGACAGGCAAAGGAGCTTGTCAAGAAGCCAAGCGTCTCACTAAGGACAGCTCCCCGTCTTGTCGCTTTCTCAGCAACAACAACAACAACATGAACAATGGTTACTTTTTGCATGCTAGCAGCATTGCACGGAGAAGAGAAATGAAAGAAACTTGTCCAAGTTAAATAAGGGAAGGTACATTGAGAGCAAAGCTCCTTTAAACAAGTGGTTCGATAACTAGTTTACGGGGACCAAGGCCCATGGCTAATGAGAGAATAAAGAATTATTCTTGTCAAATGGGGAGAAGCCGGTGCCCTGGTTTGGTGCTAAATAATTGCATTAATTGTGTTTCAAACAGCCCTGCAAGTGGTCTTTTGCACTAGTAAATTCATTAGCAACGCTAATAGGCAAACCAACCATAGGAGCAAATTTAAACAATTCCAGTAGAATGGATGGCAAAAGCAGGTAAAGGCAGCACAGAACCCTGGCAGCCAAAGCCAGTTTGCAGCATAATTGAATTTATTATCTCATCAGCTTTAAGGGCTTCCTCCTTCTGGGCCTGAAACAAGAGGAGGGAAGGCCAAAGGAGATTCAGTCAATTAGATTTGTGGTTATTTCCTTCCGTTTATCAAGCTGTCCGTCCTGAACCTGTGGCACAGCGAGGTAAGTTGTCAGAGCAGAAGATGCTGTGGCACAAATCTGTGCACCATGCACAAATCAGGAAAAATCTCGCAGGCATGGTCTACACTTTGAGGCAAAGTTAGCCAGGCCTCAGCTCTTGAACATTTCATTGCACTGCAGTCCACCAGACTGAATCCCACCGTTGTGATCTACCTGTTGTGGTAGTTGTTTAAATTTGTATACTGTCTTTCATCCAGGGTGGTTCGCAAGGGTAAAATGCAGAATGAGAATACAAAATACATAGTAAAACAAAAACAAAACAAAACCAATAACCCTTCTCATTTTCAATGTGTATACCAACATTGCATACATTTTACATGAGTATAACCAACATTGGAGAGGGTGCTGATGAGCTCGAGCTCTCTCTCTCTCTCTCTCTCTCTCACACACACACACACACACACACACACCCTAACACACAACACCATCACCATCATCACGAGCAGTTAATAATTAGTAATACAGTCACTAATATTATTAGCAGTGAACCAGAATTGAGGATTTGGCAGTTCTATGGTAGTGGTGAGGATGATAATTTAAACTCTCACCTCTACATAACATATCATGTCATCTTGATAGTTATTTATTAAGAATTTAATAATAAATAATATTTGTTGCCAGACTGTATCATTTCAGGCTGCTGATGGGGATCTAAACATGTGAATGTTTCCACTGCGCTATTCCTAAGCTGTTGGTCAGGGACAGATGACCACCAACACACAACTCCAGTGTTTAAAAGTTTGCACTGGCTGCCTGTATGTTACTGGCCCAAGTTCAAAGTTCTGGTTGATGGGTTAATGGGTCTGGTTCTTAAGTCTATAATCGTGTAAGGACCACCTGATAGCTTTTATTTCTGCCTGAGGTATTTTGGGGGAGCCATTTGGTCCACCATGGCTTAGACACACAACTTGCATCCACCAGGAGCTGTGCAGTGAGCATTGTGGGTCCAATTCTGTGGAAGCCCCTCCTGGCTAAGATAAGACAGGTACCCTCCTGTTGAACTTCCAGTGCTTGGTATGGTGAAGACTGCTCTTTTAATTATTTTAGCAGGCACTTTAGGTGAGTTTTCTTCTTTAATAGTTAAATTTACCTCTTTTTATGCTTGTATCCTTGCTGTATCCTTTATACATTTCCATCATATACCACTTAGTACTGTGGTAATACAGTAAGTGGTATACAAATTAAAAAATAAAAGTCAAACACACATACACATCCCTACAAATGGAAGACATCGCTGCTCATCTTCCAGGGGCGGGGAAAATGAACAGCAACGCGATGCACTGAAACTGTTTGCCAAACATGGTGAGTGGGGAGACATTGCAACAGCGGCAGAAGTGGTGGGGCGGACAGGGTGCTGCCTATTGCACTGCCACTGCCCGAGGCAGCTGCTTCACCCTGCCACATAGGTCTGCCAGCTCTGTGTACAGGCGCAGAGGAGGGATATTACTTCAATTGCCATGCTCCTCCTGTGTAACATTGCATTACCTGTTCACAAATGGAGCCGCACGGCAAAAACGGACTGCCTACAGCCTCCCTCCCAGCTGT